ACAACACTTATAAGAAATTAGAGTATGCATAATCTAAGCATGGGTATGCTAGAATGAAAGGGCAAGTTGGGGAAAAAGTCACACTTAGAAATTGAAATAGTGATTGAAACTGTTGGACTTAGATTCTTTCATTGATAGAGGTTATCTATAAGTCTGCTACCTTGTCATAAGTCTCTAGTTTTAACTGTAAGATAAGAGACAATTTGAAGAACAAATTTCTCTAAGAAATATAAAACTCTAGCTGAGGTCTTATAGATTTTACCATATTTTTTCCCAATGGCCCATAACCATGATCAGCTACTGGTAGAGCTGGAAACTGGCAGAAGGGTCAGTGGCTGGAGCCCCTTTTTATAACTAGCTTTATTACTGTGGCATTATCTTATACCTCTTTTAGTTATTCTTTTCTGCTGGGTGGTTAAGGCCAAGTTAAAGTGAGACCTGTGTCATTCACCATGAACCTCTTGCTATCTATACAGGTCAGTTAAGTCTCTTCAGCCATTATTTTGGAACCATGCATTAGAGCCTCTCAGTTCTGTCAGTGTCAGCCATCTGGATTGGTCACAGCCTTGCTTGACCATGCTGCTTTCAGTGAAAACGTGGGAGACTTTTTCCTCTTGGTGACCCTCCTTTGGCACACAGTACATTTGTCCTCTGGTGTCCAGCAGACTCCATGCTCAGGAGGTTGTGTGACTTACCGAAGATGGAGGATCCTGTAGAAAAGGTTCCCTCATGCCCTGTATTCTTTGTTGACCTTGAGGGGCCAGGGCCAAAATATTGGCTGTCCTCATAGCCAGGTTACCTTTCCAGTTTTGGCTCCAGACTTTAGTTGTTGAACACCCAGGATAGAAGATCAGTGACATTAGTTGTGCACTAGGAGCAGTGAGTTTAACTATTATAATTTTGTCTGGACATTAAGCACTTTGAATAGCATAGTTTGGGGCTATTATTTCTTATAAATCAACCATGGTTGTTCTAGTAGTTGAATCCCTGCAGAATGTTAACAGAAAATAGTTATATATTATACAGAAACTTAAGATCAAGAGCCACACATAGTATTTTATCATGACAATCATTATAACATTTTCTTGGTAACACTTACATGTTCATCTTAGTACAGAATAGTCTTTCAGGTAAACACCTCCATCTGATCACAGACATTAAATGACATAAAGAAAATGAATGTACATATTGGCCTATAAATGTATCTTAGGAGTTCATAATGTCTAACCCCTAATTTTAGTGTGGTTACCCCTGGACCTTCTCCTTATCTTCTTTGTGGGCTATATTCTTAGCAATCCTGCTGACCTTATAATGTGGCCCATGCATTCTTAACTGTTTATTTGGCTTTGTCTCCTCCAGACTTACAGCTTTGCAGCTACCCAAGATGACAATGCCAGGTGCCTGCTGAAGGCCTTTAGATAGACCCTCTGTAGAGTAACTCTAACTGCTGATCACAGCTATGACCCTCCTCAGCTGGAAGTAGCCAGAGTTGTCTTTGCCCTTTGCCCTTTCACAGAAGTTAGGGGTACTTCTTCAGAGGGTGGAGTATTGCAGATAGTAAGTTAATTAGATATCTTGTAGGCAGTTAGACAGGACTGCCCTCAAGGAGCCATCACAGCAAGAAGCCAACAGAGAGGACAATCAAGATGCATTCACCGAAGGTCAGAATTGTAAAAGGAGGGAAACTACTGCATCCTTGTGCTTCCCTTGGGGATGAATAGCAGTGATTGATATTCAAAATAGGTATCAATCACCTGGGTGGGAGGCCAAGGTCTTAACCCAGCCTTTCCAGGAAATATCCCTGACCCCTACCCTTACAGAAAATCCTTGTATACTTGCTATGTGAATCACTTCCCCATTTGATTCTCATTTAATCAATATTACCTGGGTGACTGTACCTATAATCTTATTGGTTAGTCATGATTTTGTCCCACTTCATGCCCACCTTGTAATTTTCCATTGAGTCTTATAATTTTGTCCCATTGTATACCCACCTCACCACAGGGTTGCGTAAAACATCTTGGAGAAGTGGGGTGAGTGGCAACCCACTTTCTGGTCCCCCTTCTTTTTTAAAAGTGTACATCATACATTTATTTCCAAAAACCATCTCCACTCCAAAATTGGGCACAAGGATTAAAAATAAAAATTAATTGCACTACTTAGTAAAGCATTGCTAGTAACTTTCATAGAAAATATACAAACTTTGTAAAATTTTATCAAGCCTTCAAATTATTTGGTTACAGATATTTATAATACATTGATTTAATACTATATGTTAGTGGATACAGTGGAATATGATTTGAGGAAATGACTCAGCAAATGATTCCAGCAAACACCCTTGGTGAGATTTCATAATCTCAAACAAATAGCAAAATGAGGTAACCAAATGTACCAATGGGGAAATAGCTTTCTAATGAAGGCCTAAAGATATCTGAAAAAATGTTCTCATGAGTAAGTTGGTAGATCACATTCAAAATTATTACAAGAAGTCCAAATTTAAGAATCTTAACAAATCACTTTCCTGAGAATGTATAAAATCTAAATATGCTTTCACATTATATAGATTTTGTAAAAAAAAAAAATTCAGGACAGAAAAATTCTCATATGAGATTTTGATATTTGAAGGTCTTGAGATGTTTTGTGGGGCATGTTAAAAAATACCAAGTCTGACAATTCATGTCCAAAACTAAAAACCCACAAAAAAAAAAAAAAAAAAAAAAC